CAACAGCTGACCTTTTAGGAAAAAGATGGGTACTTGCAATCAGTAAGTCATGGACAGGTGAAATCACCTCTGAGACCCTTTTTCTCTCTACTGACTTTATAAAAGCAGCCTAAACAAGATTGTGCCATATGCCTGACTTTCAGAATGCTGAAGTAGATGAGGTGAATTCTACCTTTACACAAGTGCCTTACTAGGGGTTAATGCCTGCTAGCACTTGCTGGTCATCATCCTGCTGCTTAGCCAGCATACATTTACCCTGTGCAGAAGGTGAGAGAAGACCACTAAAGCCCAGAAAGACCAAAGAAAGGAAAAGGTAGATTTAGCTTAGTAATACTGATGATAGAGAAAGGGAAAAAAATATTGTTTCCTATCCCTCCTCAGATTGTTTGTATATGTTAGACTAATTTGAGGATTAAATGGAAATGGAAATAGTAACAATAATAGCATTTTTTAAAGCACAGTTCTTTTCAAAAATATCTAAGTTTTATGTTAGATACACTCTTAAGTATTGCCTGTTCAAGAGACATTTTCCCATATCTTCAGTCTTTTACAAATTACTGAGAACTTCAAAATCATAACTGGATTATCAGAAACATATATCTGGGACCTAATTTTTTCTTTTCTCATTTCAGTATTAAATAGGACGTTCTCTTTAGTATGAGTTCAGCCTCCAAATCTCATCTGCAAGTATGACTAGGGAGTTGAATGGATTATTCAAAGCATGTATGTTTGCAGCTTCGAAGAGGATTGTTTTGATTCCATTCATTAGAACAATAGTGAGAATAGCATCCAAATGTACTCACTGTGACTGCCCATAATGCTTTTATGCATATGCATGGACACAGTCTTTTGTTGTCACGTGGACTCTGTGCGTCAAGTCTGAATCGTGTTGTACTCACTAGTTATTATAGGAATGCTTTCTCATCTGATTTTTTTTCCTGTTACAATTTAAATCTTAAAAGGCAAGCAAATAAATTTTCTCAGCCATCATCTTTTAAATTATGTACTAACATTTAAACACCAGCAAGTCTGAAGTCTGTAAACATCCACAGTCATTCAGTACTTTTGTCAAAGTAAATGAAGCCACTGACCATTTAGAACCAGTTGAGCTCTCTCTGGTGGCTAATTTCAGTTTTACAGTTTCTTATTTGTTTTCCTCAAATCATCAAATCAATAATCTTTTAAAATAATGCCCCAAATTAAAATTCTCCTCCCTAATGTTTCTAAGCATTTCCGCAGCTATGATGCAGATGGGTATGATGGAAATACAGGACTGAAGTGATGCTCTGCCATCACTGAATCATTACTGTTTGAAACGAGCACTAAGATCACCAAGTCCAACCATCAACCCATCCCCACCATGCCCACTAACCGTGTCTCTCTTTGCCACATCCTCACAGCTCTTGTACATCACCAGGGATGGTGACTCCACCACCTCCCTTGTTCCAGCTTGTTCCAATACCTCACCACTCTCCATAATTAGTACAGAAAGGTAAATGGTGCCAGACAGTTTCCAGAGCATCCTCTCTTTTGTGAGACAGCTCAGATGTTTATCTATGGGTTAGATGGGGCCTTCATGGGCTAAGTACATCCCAGTTCCAGAGGCAGCTGTGGTGCCATGGTCATGTTCATAGGTTTTCTTCGTTTCTGAAAGCTGTGATAAATGCAGAGCTAGCCAGGGCAAGTCCTGGCACTCTCTGCAGCATAGCTAGTATAAAGATACAATGGTAAAATGATACAATAGGTTGATGTTTGTGCTTGGAACAAGGTCCAGACTCAGGTGGCAGCTTAGTATAAATTATTTTAACCTTGATGAGGCAGCAGCAGTTAGACCAACTGAAGACTTGTGAGGTTGTCCCACCCCTTCTTCCTGCTGAACTGCAGCTGTTCCCCAGGAGGTGTCATCCAGACACTTCTTGTTCACTGTCTGGCTGAACAGAAAATCCCAGGGGATGCCTACAAAGACTGAGTGCAGAGCTTTGGCCAGAGAAGTCTCTTTTAAAGGAGGTGAAAATTAATGGAGATGAAAATAGTGGAGTGGGAATGCTTCCTGTGTTTATCACATGCAGAGAGGCCAGAACAGGTTTGTTTGTTCCTGTTTGCTTCAGAAGATGGGCAACGGTATAAGAGGCAAGGGTGACTTCTGGTACAGCTAGAAAACAGTACATATTTAATATTCCCACATTCTTCCTGTCAAAACATTTTGTGCTATGTGAGATGAACAATGTAGTTCATAACAACAATAATAACTTTATTAATAATAATTTTATTTTTATAAAGTACATTTCTGTGATGAATAGCATCATAGAATATCCCAAGTTGCAAGCAACCCACAAGGATCATTGTGTCCAACTCACAGCTCCACACAGTACCACCCAAAATCAGTTTGTCTGAGAATACTGTCCAAATTCTCCTTGAACTGTGGCAGTTCAATGCCATGACCACTGCTCTCTGGTGCAGAACCCAACCTGACCCACCCAAGCTGCAGCTCCATGCCATTCCCTCATGCCCTGTCACTGTCACCAGAGAGCAGAGCTGAGCACTCTGCTACCTGTGAGAAGCTGTAAGCTGCCATGAGGCCTCTCCTCAGCCTCTTCTGCTCTGGGCTGATTAAACAAAGGACTTCAGCTGCTAGTCCCCTTCACTGGTCTGTTCATGTGTTTGATTTTTCCAGTAAACAGACTTGCCTGGGCAAGAGAGATGCTGGCTAGCTCTTATCACTCTGGCTGCTATATGCTGGGTTTGGGGAATACTCTGTAACCCTCATAGGCATCACTCTGGGCTTGCATAGATTTCTGTATTTTGTTACAATAGAATTGGAATAACTGTGCATATTATTGTTCAAAAACTCAGAATTTATTTTTATAAGCATTCTTTGCAGGGCTGGAAAAAGATTTGAGCCTTTGGAAAGAGTGAGTTGAAAATGACAGGTGTCTTTGCCTGCTGGATTTTCAGCTCCCTTACGACTGAAACCATGTTAAGGCTAATCCTTCGAGGCTAAAGAGACCCGGTTAAAGTTTATCCTTCCGCAAAGGCTAGCTAAAGGTTCATGCATAATTTAAGTCATACTTGCACTCTGTTTTAAGGTTTTAGGTGAGACTTAAATGACTTATCAGCCTTAAGCTGAATTTTCCCCCAGAGAAGCAATCTGTATGCAAAAAGTAAATCAGAGGTGCATTAATTTCTTCAGTACATAACTTCAGTAAGAAATAGGGTATTTTTTTTGTTTGTTTTATGACCTGAACCACCTAGAAAGCAATGAAAAAAGCAGTGCATCACTGAGATGCCAGCTCTCCTCCTAAGCATGAAGGTAATGCTCTGTGACACTAATGTAGCCTTGCACCATCTGCTTTTTCAGTCAATAACACTCAAAGCTGTTCCTTTCAGAATTCATTCATTTTAAATGTTTAAATTTTCAGTGGAAAATGTGTAGATCATATCATTCTTTTCATATGTTTTTGTTTATATTGAATTTATGTATTTTAAAATCAAAGAAACTAAAACTGTATGTTAACAAGAGAGAACCTAGTTGCAAAGTTCTTGGAATATGCTTTTCTGTGTTGTAAGCTCTTACTGATACAGAGGTACAAATCCTTAGGTGATAAGGCAGGTATTTGTGTTATTCAGTAACTTTTTAAATAAATGTTTTAGAACAGATCGTAAAGAGGAGAATCAAGTACTCAGTGTTTCTTTTTCAATAAATCTCATAATGAACTAAAAACTCAGGATGGGCTGACAAACATAATCAAGAGTTTTGTGCTTTTTAGGTTTGGGAAGTTGACATGTAAACTGTAACCTCGCACTGAATAGAGCTATTCAAACACACAAGTGTGGGTGTCAGCTCAAATCACATCCAATGTCATCTGGGGAAAGAGGAGGGGCTCTAAAGAGTTATTCAAGGAGAAGTTATTTTCTCAGTGGCAAAACCTGAATATTCTCATACCAAATATTATATACCAATGGTCCTTCGATATTAGAACATGCATCAAGTCCTTATCCCTGCAATATTATGCCCTGTAGTACTAGAGGCCACATGCAGTACTGTTTTTTTCCAACACCCATGCCTAAGGACAGATACGGTCTTTTCTTGCAAATCTGGATCTATTTCCTTATCAAAGCCTTTGTCACCATCAGCTTATGTTGTAAATGCCTCTACTTGCCAGTGTAAACACTGAAACCAGGGAAGCTGTGGAAGAATTTGGAAGTCCTATACAGTCGAAATTTTATGTTGGCAGTCTATTACATGTATTGTGAAAACTAACTTTTGTAAATGCTCTTACTATTTTGGGATGGCATTTTATTTATTAATCTATATTATTAATATTATTTATTTATGCATAAAGGTAAGTGCTGAAGCAACAGTGAGCCCTGAGGAAGTCTCCTGTGCACAAATTTGAAAGTATCACAGAGAACGCATTTGTATGGAAAAAATTGAAAGTGACACCAGAGAAGCTACTGTATAATGTGAACAGACAAAGCAAAAGGGCTACATGACAATCCAGAGAGAGAAAGAGAACTGTCAGATTAAATATAAAGGTGGAGCAATCACAGCACTTTAGGCTGTTTAACTCTATTGATGCCATGCCAGGAGGGGTGCCAGGATTTATCATATAATTTACATTCATCATTCTGTGTATAACAAACCGCTAAAGCCTAGATAATATTTATTAGAAACAAATGTCCTCAGTAGAGTTTCCTATCAACTTATACAGTATACTCGTATACATGCAAAGGATTAGAGCAGAGAAAGGGCAGAAGAACCTAGAAATGTATTTTGCTTTCCTTAAATCAGCTATTTTTCCAGGAGACAGGTTAAAAAGGAACGTTGTTATTTGCACTCTGTTTCTATACTTGCCAGAAGCTATATTCAAAGGTCTTATTGAGTTGTACCCAGGGAGTGAGCAGCTTAATAATATATATGTGTTTGTGTGAGTGAGTGAGTATGTATGTCTATATAAATATACACATGCATATACTGAGTTTCTTGTTCTCATTTGTAGCTGATACCCTGGCAGATCTTTCTCAAACTGTGATGTGAACTGGCAAGTGGGCTGCCAAGAGTGAGATGAAAGAGCATGACAGAGACTCCAGAGTATGGTAATAGTATTTTCATCATGGCCATTCTTACACTGCTATTTTATTTATTATTTGTTATATGCCTGGAGTATGCCTGACACATTGCAAGACAAAAGGAAAGATGCTTCTCTTGTGTCCTTAATTCATTTTGCTATGAAACACAGAAGCTGTGCCTTCTGTAAAAGAAGAGATGCAGGTTTTCTTATTTCTGTGAGGCAAAAGCCTTTCAAAAGAAAGAAATAGCATCCCAAATTGTAGGAACTCAAAAATAGTAACCTGTGAGTTCTGTGAGATACTTAAAGATCTGAATAAATTATTTCTGTGATTGCTATCTAATGGAAAAATTTTTCTTGCCTAAATATTTTGTTTTTCGAAGAGACAACTGCATATTTTTCACAGAAGTACAGCTAATGTGTGCTCCTCCTACATCCCCCTCACTGCTAGAGACTTGTATCCCATTTCTGCTCTACAGAGATACAATTTATGTCTCAGCAGACTCAGTGTATAACTCTTCCCTCTGTGATATGCCCTAGGTTCCCTAAATAAGGGCCTATTCATCTCTGATTTTTGGATCTTATCAAGATGATCCTTGAAGTAAATAGGAGTTACGTTTATTAAGTAGAAATTTCATTAGTTATCAAAGATGGATTATGCCTTGATAGCTGCAGTTCTCCATGAATCTGCTGATAGACCTCTGAATTAATGTAACAAAATGCTTCTGGTGAAAATTGCACCTTCCCTGAGTGATTTTGGCACTTGAATCTTTCCCAAGGGCTGAAATAGCCATGTGTGTGACATGCTCACACTCAACTAGATCAGAAATTGACAAGTGTCTTTATATTTTTTAATAGAACTGAGCTGGCAGTTGGCATATCTAACCTGGTTTATTTAAATCATTGTCATAAAGTACTTATGAGTATGAATGGATAATTTAGAACTTTTTATACCTGATGAGTGGTCACACACATATCGGTGGGGAACAAATGCATGCATAATATTAAGTAATTGAACTTAAAGGATAATGAAGAATATATTCAAATGGAATCATTTTGTTCTTTCACTCTAATTTGAGTTTAATAACATAATTAATGGTGACGTATTTAAAGGTGTTGTAGTTAAGTTGGTATCCATGCAGTTGGACAACCTTCTTTCTTGGTGCATTTGTACCATTCGTTCTACAACAGAGTATTGGTAGATGCTTTTAGTTTTCATACAAAAAAAAAGCAGTGCAAGCAGTTTCATGGTATTTTATGAAAAGTTTTGATGAGAGAGACCTGCAAATATGAGATCTGCTCAGTGTTTTGGCTGAGCAGAATCTTTGTGAGTAGACATAGCCAAATACGAAGAGAAGCAAAGACTAAGCACAGAAAATGTCCAAGAAAAAGTTCATGTAGCATTACTTTAAAGAAAATTGAGGAGTCAGACATTTATTGTTGCCAGAAAGCAGCTTGGAATGAGAAGGAAATAATCTCAAACTTTGCGTTCTGTTGTTTTTAGTTACTGCCCTGTTCCAGAAGATGTGACTTTCTGGATGTTCTTATTAAGTATGCACAACAGCACCAAAGATATAAGGCAGTTGATCAAATTCATCAATTTAATAATCAAATTTATATGAAAGCTGTGCATAATGACTGACTAATTGAAAAATGGGTCCGTGTGTAAAAACTTATTAAAAACTTCATTTCTGATTCTCCCGGAACTTTTACGCTTTTCTGATTTTTTTTTGCAGAGACAATAATGAACGTACTCTTGAGCTTCCTATTTGGAGGCAGGCAGTTCAACATTACGTGGTTATATTAAAGCCTCAACTGAGAGTATGATTATATTTCCTAATCCTTTTATAATACGCTAATAGCTGGGATCTTTCAAAATAAACTTAATTAAATAGTTCCCTTGATGTGCTAAGTTAAGCACTGAAACAACTAGCATGGCATAAATCATTTAACAGCCTTTATAAATGCGTTTTTCCTTGGATTTTCATGCATCTGTGTCATGCTCAGAATCACCCGGTTCAGTTCCAGGAAATTCAGAGTATACTCAGAATGCCATGCATTTTGTGCTCAGAGTGCAGAAATGGCTGCAGATTTGATGAGCAGAGGGCGGCAGTTCGCTTTTTGTCTCGGGTTTCAGCGGGGGTGGGGAGGTAAAAGGAGAACAGGGAAGTTTCAGGATGTTGATGCACAGCACTAAGCTGGTCAAGCAATCCGCACATTGTCGACACAAATCCCATCCTTTATTATTGCATTTTCTGGTATTACCTAATTATGTCTTGATAATATTCCATGGCCTTTCACCTCCAATTTAATGTAACTTCCCTTTTGTATGTGGAAAACAGGCAGGGCTTGATGGCAGCGGGGCTGTTCCCACCCCGCACTGTCTGGGTGGTGATGATGTGTGAAATAGTGTCCTCTGCTGCACGAACCGACACAGTGCGCCTGCCTTGAGTTGCCCCGCAGGAAGGCAGGCTGGAGTGGGAAAGCTCCAGTCTTGAACAGCAATCCTGATCTAAAGGTAACATTTTCCCTATTAGTGGGAATATGATCTATTTTAATAACTAAATCAGCTGACAAAAATTGATGCCTTGAATGGAGGATTGGTCCATTGCAAAAGCCTGTGACAGCTATTGATATTGTTGCTGAGTTTTGTCTCTTTCATAAGGATAAAGGGGACAGTTACATACTGTTACAGTGTTCTTAAGTTGGAACTAAAGACATTTCATTCTTGAAAGCACATGAAGGGTGTGAAGATGCTCAGCGCTGGACATCTGTGGAGACTGGTAGCCTTGACTTTATGGTGATTAATTCAGCTTAGGTTCACTGAACTTAGTATGATTACACAAGCCATGAGGATAGAAAACAAGAGCCATTACAATGAATTTAGTGTTAATGAAAACAGTATTTTAAATACTGTTAACTACTGCCTGCGATATTGAGAAGTACAATATACAGCATGGCATTTTATAACCTAACTCAGCCATGAAGCATTTCTCTTACCCCATATTATTGTTTCCTTCCCCAGACCTGTGCAGAGTACATCACATGATGGTTCACTGATGCACAATAAAACACGAGTGAGTTACTTTTCAAACTTTACTCAAAATGAAATGTGGCATTTATTTGGCTTTTGTATCTCTCAGAGTACTGTAGGAACAATGAGCAGGCATTCTTAATCCCTTTTATGCAAACTGGGACAGATAGAAGTATTAGAATAATGTCCTCTTGGTCAAACTAACTCCAGCTCTCCTATGTCTATTGCTACTCTGGATAATTCATAACTTTTGGAAGATAGGTTTGAGTGGATGAAATAAACTCTTGAATTAATCCAGGCTTTTTATTTTTTTAAGAATATTACTGATGGTCCATTATTAGTAATTGACTTCACCATCAAACAGCTGACAACCAGACTGAGTTTACACAGTTAGCAGGAAATGTCATGTCTTTATTGTCTCTTTCAGATTTTCTCCAGTTCTGATGATGTTATGTTTGGAGCATTCTTTTGATTATTTGTTGTTTGTTTGTTTTTTTTAACGTTCAGAATTTGAGAGTCCCAGCATGAATATGACAGAATTTCTTTTCTGATTTTGTTTATTCATGGTTTGGACCAGTTTTCTTGACAGCTGTAAGAATGGAGTATCCTTCTCTTTAACTTGCACTGCTGCTGTTTCTCTTTGTAGTAGGAGGTAATGCAGTACTCTTTCATAAGGCAAATTAGAAATAAATTATACTTAGAGGAGTGGATTTGTAGGTGGAGTTCCCTAACACCTAAACACAATGGAAGCAATATGAGTCCACTGACCTGGGAAAGAATATTCTAGGAAGTATTTGTTATGAATGAGCTTGCAGTACAGTATGACAACTCAGTGATTTACTGTGGGTGGAAGCAGATCAGGTATCACAAATGATTCTGATCAGAGTCATGCTATTTACCAGCTGTCATGCTGCTCTTAAAAGACTGGGGCAAAGAGAGGTTTTCTTCTCCAGTTTTTGCAGAGATTTTGCTGTAACAAAATAAAGTGGAATGCATTCCCTCTTCCACATTATTCCTGCTCATAGAAGTTACTGTTTTGGCAAACAGGTATTTTAGAAACAATAGTTTTTGAAAACAAAAAAAAACACTTGTTCTACTCAGCTTTTCTATACATACAAACCTAGTGATGAGAATATTGCCTAATACATTAATGCTTAGATTTCAATAAGAAGCCATTTTCTTGATGCTGATCAAGCAGTGTTTTGAAAAATATGGCAAAAGATTTTCAAAAATCAAATTTTGACCATTCTTACATTTTCTGAGCAAAACTGAATGCAGCGGATAATACAGTCTTTGATCATAACACTCTAAACAATAAGAGGAAATATCTCCTCATGTTTTAAAGAGGTAAGTGGCAAATTTTGAACTAGATACAGTTTTATTAAGAGCAAGATACATTTTTGTGACCTGAAAGATGCTTGGAGGTTTTTAGAGGAAAATTCATCACCATATCAAGTAGCAAATGATACAGAAGAGGACAGACTATCAAATGAAGCAAGAAATAACTCCATTATGTAAGATGTCTAAAATCTCTGCTATATTTGACATAGTTAAGAATATGATTGGACTGTTTGATATTTTCTAATTGACCTTTTTATTCAATAAAGCTGTGCAAGTTTGGTTTTTTTTGTTTTGTTTTGTTTTGGTTTTTTATAAGTATGAAAGAAAAATGTAATGGAATTCATGGAAAGCAGCCAACCTATTATTTAATATTTCACATGACTGCATAATGTTATTGATGGATAATGTGCAATTTGGTGGAATATGGCAAGGAAACTCATGCATGGTATTCCACTTATATGTACAATTCACTGAGTAAATTAGTTTTCTTCATTTTTCCTCTTATTTTGCTATTAGAAGAACAAATAGAAATGAGGAGACATAACATGAGGTATAGTTTTTCTGCTGAATTATACTTTTATTTTATAGATTTTGAAAAAAGTTTTTGATGTAATTATATAAAACTGATGTAAAAGTATGATGGTTGACTAGTGTAAAACAAGAGCTTAACGGTAGATTCAGAATTGCATCTTTAGCATAACATCATAAATAATGTCTCCAAATCATAACCATGGGGTACCTCAGGGGATTCTGAAACCTATTTGCAAATAAAGAAAAACTCATAAATCTTATTACTTTCTGAAGAAGAAAGAATATATAGCATGTTCCCACTAGATACTGTAGATAATTTTGAATGGAGATATTAGGAGAACCTTTGTTTCAATACAAAGCTAGTTTCCTTGTCTGTTTTGATGCTGCGAGATTGCTATTACTAATTTTCATTAAACATTCATTTGAAAGGTGCTCATGCTGTTCTTTGCAGCTATGTTGCTCATTAGCTCTTTTGTTATTTTTTATTAGAGCATAAAGAAAAGTTACTTTAGTTCAGCCACATAATTCTAACTCGTCTTTGCCTTTTCTATGCTACACAATGTTTTCTAGATAATAAATTTTCAACCTCATTTGTCTATTTGGTTTTCAAGATGTGAAAGCATCTCTAAGCTACTTTTTATGGCATGTTTTACCCTTATTGCTGGTAGCAGATTTTATGGCTATTGTGTCATAAGCTATGCTGCAGTGATACATGGCTATATAAAGGAATCCAGTCCTTAAAGACTTGCAAAGCCTGATGGATATTTTCATACCAGCTTGTTAACTGAGTCACAACCTTTCAGAATTGCTTAAGGGCTCGAGGCAATCCAAAGAGGAGTCATTTGGAGAATCGTCTTTCCAGACTGCTCTTCTCAGTTCGCTAGACAACAAAGGTCTTTTTGTAATTGCAGTAAGCTGTGGATTTCTATAAGTGGGAAAGAATCGTTCTGTATGTCCTGTGTTCTTATATTCTTATTTAAACATCCATCATTGGCCAGGCGCAGAGAGAGCATACTAAACCAACAGAATCTCTGGTTTGACTCACTACATCAATTCTGTTATGCATGCTACCTCCTCTGGTAGTTAGAATATAAATTAATATTTGATTAATATGCATTCATCAGTTATGTGGAGGTTCTATTCTTCAGTTCTGAGAAAGGTTGATAAGATTTGCTGTTCAGGCTTGTGCAAGGCAGGAAAATAAGAGGTGGAGGGGAACAGAGCAGTGATACTTTCTGAAACTTCCAAGATCATTGTTACAAGAGCTGTCTCAATTTCAGTTCAGCATCTCTTCCATCATCCTCTGAAGTTATACAAATTTAACTTAGATTAAACTGGAAGTGTGGAAACAATTCAGTCAGTGGTGCATAAGGAGCAGAAAACAGGTCTCCTCCTCTTCTTTCAAACTACAAAGAGCAAACAATCTATTCTTCCATTATTAAAATGTAGTTCCTAAAATTCAAAGGGACATAATCCATGAAATAAGAAAATGCTGGTAAGGCACAGGTACTTGGAAGGAGATTACAGTGTCTTCAGAGTCTTATATAAACCTAATGGAAATGTAACGTGTTTTTTTGAAAACCAGAGAAGTTTGAATGCAGGCTTTTTCAGCTCTTCTTTTTGGTCAGTGTCCATTGCAGTCATGTGCTGCAATAACACCAAATAGCTGTCACTAATAGTATAGACCTATTCTATGTGCAGAAATAGACTCAGCAGGAAAGATCATTTTTAAATTGTAGAAAACACTAAAACTCAGAATCTGGATGGCTATTATGGATAAAGCATTTTAAATAATGAACAAGGTTAAAGATAATGTAATATGGGAAAGTAGAGTGGATAAACCTAGAGTATATTTGGCAGAAGAATATGATTCTGTTTTGTGCCACCAGGATCGCAACAAGGACAAGTATTATCCATCAG